TTCGGGCATTGATCTCCTACCAGTAGGTCAACTTATCTACTTAGAATATGCAGATGATATAGTCCAGTTTGGTGAAGATGCTGATAAAATTCAGTCTTTTGGTAGCACCGAGCAACAATCCCAGGATATTTGCGATGCGCTTCTCCTCTTCTAAATGCAAGTTTTAGCTCCAGGACTGGCCTGTGTTAACACCTGAAATAAAGATAGGGAGTGAAGTAGTCGAACACGTCAACATCTTGAAAGTATGATCAGCCTAAATGGGTTGATATCTGATGAAATATCAGCACAGATTCGAAAAGCCCGTCTGGCTTTTGCAAACTTACGTCACCTATGGCGAAGGCGAGATGTCCGTCTATCAATTAAGGGACGAGTATACTGCGCGGCTCTTCGTTCTGTTCTACTTTACGGTTGCGAAACGTGGCCATTAAGAATAGAAGATAGTCTTAAGCTACTAGTATTTGACCACAGATGACTTGGAAATATTGCTCTCATCTACTGGGATCACCGGGTAAGTAATAGTGAGGTTAGACGCAGGGTATTAGGGAATGATGTTAGATCAGTTGATGAGGTTGTGAATGTTCATCGACTGAGTTGGTTGGGCCACGTGTTGCGTATGCCTGAACACCGATTACCAGGACGCGCAATGCTGACTAGTGTAGAGGATGGCTGGAGGAAAGTTAGGGACGGTCAAACCAAGACATGTCATCAGTGCTTGAAGTCACTAACTCCTGGTTTGAGCCATATTGGTAGATATAGATTACGTGGTCGCGGTCCGCATGACTATTTTAAACAATGGTTTGAGACTTTGGGTGACATCTATTTTTGTATTTTCAAATCGTCTACTTAATTATAGAAAGTAGGTAATTGGATTTAAGTTAATATCTTTCCAATACTAGTTTTGTTCGGCCATTCAGTCAGAAAGAACTATTTATATGTCTCACATTCATTTTTATGTTATCATGTGTTATAAGCAACTTAAGATCTCATTAAATCTCATTTTCAAACAGAAATTCTCAATTAATATTAATTTACCTCAATTAAATTCATTTGGTATTGTTTTGCTTGGATCTTCCCATTGTGGTTTAAAACTGAAATTGATCAGTCTGTTATTGGCATATTTACATACTGTGCATATACCTAGATATTGCCTCAATTCACAAGCCCTTTCAAGCAAAAATGGATATTGGCTAGCAGTGGAATCCAGGACGTGCGCTTCGTTCTATTTGAGACTCATCAGCTGGATGTACCTGCATCCCAGATTTGATGTTCACTCCTGGAGTCGAACCCATTACCCATTCACTTCAAACGCCATCACGTTATCCACCCAGCTGCTGAGTCCTGGTAGCCACTTGTTAATAAACTTCTCGGGCACACTCTTCTTCAATAGGCAATCCCAGAGAACAGCCCTGTCCACCGAATTGAAGGCAGCCCTGATGTGATAAGTATATCCGTGTTCTAAAATTTGTCGGTGAGTGAAGATATGATCAATACATCCTCGACTAGAACGAAAACCAGCCTGCTCATCGCGACTCAATCTTTCTCGGGCTTTGAACAATCTACGAAGTATGACGGAAGCCAATGGTTTGGACTAACGCGGAAGTAGACTTATCCCCCGATAGTTGTTACAAAAACGACGTGAACCGTTTTTAAAGATGGGGATAACTACCAACTCATTGTTTCGCTCACACCAGACTTCTTGCTGCTAGCGAATTGGATGGGTCGAAAGAGCTTCCGGCAGTTACCAGATGCATTTGCTGCTTCCAGCTCATTGCCACGCTCCGAACACCAGGCTTCTCGGTCCTTACGCAAGCTCTGCTCAATTTCATCACGTAGCAGTCTTCATTTATGGCGAAACTCACGGTCACACGGAGTTGACCAACGGGCTTCATTGAGTTGGAAGGGGCCTAAAGAAACCCAGTGCTTATAAGCGAGACGTCTCGCAATTTTCATGGCGTCATGCAAATATAACCAATGCTCATCTATACTTTTCGGTAGAATGGTAGCTAACCTTGAACTTAGCTCGGTTTATTATTTAGCTGCAACATGAGCTGAAACCAATTTACTGACATCGATCCGTTTGGGATGATGAGATTCCTGGCCACTGAAAAGTAAGGTAAGATTGGCTCAGACCAGGGCATGATCAGAGTCCAGATAGGTACTCCAAAAGGAGCTGCAGTCTTGTTCACAACCACGTCAGCGGTAGCTGATCGCGATGTGATCAATCTGAGTCCAGGCTTGAGATGCAGAAGAAGGACGCCAGGTGGCACATCGACGATGACTGTGTCGGTCAGTCAGTCAGTCAGAAACAACGTGGAACTTCGTACGTACGTACATCATTTTGAGCTGCCATACCACATTAGCACAGAGATTCAGTTATCGATTCAAATCCCATAGTGGTAGAGGTACTGAAAGTATAAATAGAGATAGGGGACATGAAGGTTTGATGATGTTATTAGAGGAGTATAGTCCAGTGGAATAAATTGGGAAAGAAAATAAAGGACATGAAGAATTCAGAAGATTAGAGTTTGACAGAACACAAAGAGTGGATGCAGCTGCGCCATTGCAAACGATTTTGAGCCATGTCATTCAAGGTCTCTAACCATCGGTTGCTATCGTCTCGCGGTCCCCAACCAGGTAGTCTACACCTACCAACATGACTCAGTCCACTTGTCAGTGACTTCATGGATTTGTGCCATGTTTTGGTCTGGCCGCCCCTAACTTTCTTCCAACCTACTCCTACACCATAAAACATAGCACGTCGGGGCAGTCGGTGGTCGGGCATGCGCAACACATGTCCCAGCCATCTCAACTGATTAAGTTTCACTACTGTGTCGGTAGTTAGTGCTAGCCAAAACCAGGTTGTGGTCTGTGCATATTTGCAGTAGACGTTCCCCGTTATTTGTCCTGCGACCAACGAGTCCCCATCGGCCACCTAAACGACTCTCTTCTGTGCCTAGACGCACGACCTGAGCATTCAAGTGTCCAGCTAGTACTACAATATCTGTCGAACGCACTTTCTGGAGAAGAACAGTTAGCTGGTGGTAGAACTCGTCCTTGATTGCATCCGGGCTGCAATCTGTCGGGGCATAGGCGGAGATGACGAAAAGACATCGTTTCCCACGCCGATTTCTTCTCACTTTGATGGAACTTTCTAATCTAACAGCACATAATCGACTGTTAATGGGGATCCAGTCAACTAGTGCTGCCTCAGCTCTTGCGCTTAGTGCGACACCAACGCCAGCAAGACCAGACGAAGATGCTACAGGGTCCCCGGATAAACGCACGTAAAACAAGCTTTTTGAAGCGACAGATGGAGAACGAACTTGTAGTACTTCGCCAGAGTCTTGAATACGGGTCTCGGATAGACAACACACGTCAATATTAAGACTTTCCAAAGACAGCCAGCCCTATCTGTTGTCCGACCTGCATAAGTGTGCGAACGTTAAAGGCAGCCAGTTTGAATGGTGCACGTGGTTTCAGAAAAACTGCTTCAGTACTCTTATTCGGTGGTAACATACAATTTTCAACCAGACAGTGACACGAGAACGTTTAGATAGAGCCGAATGTCCACCATAGGCGAGCTGCTGTATAAGTCGAAAAATAAGCATAGACAGAGTAGGGATAATAGAGAGTGAATAAATGACGTGGTAAATAATAGTAATAATAATAATAATAATAATAATAATAATAATAATAATAATAATAGTAATAATAATAATGTGAATTTTTTGACAGTAAATCGCGGCGAGAATAGAGTTTTCAGAGAATATCATCATTTTCATTATATTTGTGTGTGGGCTGTGATACTGTCCGGGTGCCCAGACCGAAGCAGGTTGTTTTCTTAGGGGCCACACCCCGAGCCTTTGACCTGAAGATCTGATCCACAAGGCAGTGGAGCATCATGAGGAGATGCAGTCCTATGGAAGCCGGTGACCAAGAAATCGGTTCATACGCCATTTGTTCCCGCAGGATACTGGAGCCCATGCACACCATTGATTTGGGATCCGGTTATAGCGCCGGACGTTCGCTTTTCGTCCTCTCATTTTCGTAAGCCACACCCCCGCCACGAGAAGGCAGTGAGTAGGACTTCCCTGGCAGAGGCTGTATACGCGTGGCCGTGTGAGAGTATTTTGAGAGGGAGGGAGAACCTACCTCACTCTCTGCCATAGCAGGACATTTGGGGGCTTTTGAACCTTCTGTTACCAGAAGAATCACTCACCATAACCCCGGGCGCCCGAACCGAAGCAGGTGGTTTTCTTAGGGGGCCACACCCCAAGCCCTTGACCTAAATGTCCAATCCACAAGGCAATGAATTAACATTAGTAGATGCAGTCCCTATGGTGGCTAGTGACCAACAATAGGTTCATACGCCATTCGTTCCCTCGAGATCCTGGAACCCATGTGCACCATTGGTTTGGAATCAGGGTTTTCCAACATTCACTTTTCGTCCTCTCGATTTCTCGAACAACACCCCGTTACGAGAATGCAGTGAGTAGGACTTCCCTGGCAGTTGTTGTTTTGTACATGGCCATATGAGAGTATTTCGAGAAGGAGAGCAGACTCACCCCATCCTCGGCCGTACCAGGGCAAACTTATATAAGTTTCTTCACCATCTACCTTTGAATACGATGATCAATCAAGTGAGTTTCTGTAAACATTTAACAACAGTAGTAATATAATAATGTGTATTCATTTTGTCGCTAGCTGTTCACAACCCATTGTTTAGTTCTTGTCCTACTATCGCGATTTTTGTTCTTTAACTGGAATTTATAATATACAACAAATTCACCGTAACTGTAAACGACTTCACTTGGGATTTCCAATAAGCCTACGTTCAATCATAATTTCGTATTATGTAAATGGTTAATAGTTACTTTTGTTAAATGTCTATTACTACATATCAGTATATGATTATTTCTCTGAACATTTAGAACCTTAACTGTAAAATTCGTTCTGAATATGACGAATACCTTTACTTTAATTTTTTTTATTACTTTTAGACAATTGTCCTAAATTTGAAATTCCCGGTAGAACTTTCCCAGTGAAGACATATTATTTAGAAGATGTTTTGAGAGAAACTAAGTAAGCTGACTTTGTGTAATAATATTATAATTAATAACCACCCAGTAAATCGCACTATTTAATTACTACAAATGGTTATTTTTAATGTTTCCTAAGTAATATTGTAACATCGACGTATAATTCCTAGACTTGTTATGAGAATTGCTATTGCAGTGTTATTCTTACTTGTATTATTCTACTTAAATATTGTCCCATACTAGATAATTTCATTAATCCGATAACTACTCATTTGAATACAGATTGTCGCACAGTAATCTCATTTTATGCTCTTTTTCCTACTGAGTATTTCATGAAGCTTATATTTTTATTAGTTCCAGTGGTATTCAGTTTAGTTTCTGAGATTTGATAACTAATCCACTCGCACACTGAAAGTGAATTTTTAGTTTCACCCTTTTTATTTTTATAATTAATTAAAATATGTTCTGTAACTCGTTTTTACTTATATTTCAGGTGTATAAAACCTAAGTGATATCGTTTTGATAGTGATGAATTTAACCAGTTCGACTTCAAAATGAAAATTTGCCTAGTATTTAACTTTTAATGAATTCTTGAGTGACCATTAAAATTGACAGTATAGGTTATAGCTCATTTTCTTGATGTAACTAAAACATCTTGATATTACGTTTAGTTGCTTTCTATGTACTATAGTGATATGTTTGATCTATTTATTTTTGGTTTACATCTATAAGTTTTTCTACTGATTATTAACTTTGTTTCTACATTCTTTATCATTTAGTATCAATTGAGTTTCAATTGTATCAAACAAAAAAATTGGATTGAAATTTTTTTATGAATTTATTATTTCTCGTAGGTTTTGGCTGCCAAATAATGCTATAACTACTTTATGCCGTGATCAATCACGTACATTAAAACAGCGCCTTTTAAAATCTAATCTTTCAAAAAAAGAAGCTCGCATATTATCTTATGGAAAAAGCCCAGAATTCAATAAGTGGTTGCATTCATTAACAGGGTATGTTAAAGTTTTTAGAAAGAAAAATATATTTCATTGGTTTTTTTCCTCGATAATTTTTCGCGATACGAAATTACTGCTTTTTTTTTGAAAAAAAAGTGTATCAGTTGCCCCCAAATGCTCTGGTGCATCTGGTGATGGGGAGAGTTATTTCCCCCTCTTGGAATGCTCTCATATTCCCATACATTCAAATTCCTTGTCAGGTAAAGTTTTTCTCATTACGTCCATGAGGTGGGTGTGTTGTTAATAAAAGTGAAAGAAAAGCAAACTTCAGGAGCTCAAACTGGGATGGTGGATACTCAGGTTGTGCCAAGAGAAGTTAGAGAACCCTAGTTCCAAATCATTGGTGTACAAGGCCTCTAGGATCCTGACGATACGAACGGCATATGAACATATTTATGGTCACAGGGTACCATGGGATATCGTTTCCTAATATTGCTCCTTTGCGTCATGGAATCGACCTTTAGGCCTAAGATTCGAGAAATGAACCCCCTAAGGAAACAATCTGTTTTCGTTTGAGCGCCTGAATGATATTCCAGCCCACATCCAAGTATTTTTTTTGTGGTTTATACTATTTTTATTCTATTTTCGTCAGGTTTTTCAGAGATCAATCAATTATATAATTTTCATTTATCTATCTATATTTTTAATCTTTACAACACAGATTTTATAAGTTTCCATTAAGTTAGTGCCCTCCATTTTCTCAAATACACTAACTAAATACCTAGATGAAAGCCAGTTAACTGTTGGTGTGTTGGGAGAAATCACTGTTCTACTGATGTCTGTAAGTACAGAAAAATCTAGATTATGATTTATCTTCAATTTCCCAACACATTTCTATGTATTTTGTTATACGATTAAAGAAGCAATAACTTGCTGGAAATTAACATTTTGCGGTTATTATGTACATTATTATTAATATTTATCAAATACAGTCTAACTTTTGCATATAATGGTTACCAGCTTAACCGTATATCTTGGTATTATTCATTAAAAGTCTCCAATAAAATTTCTTAACTTTGAACATTCAGATTATCTTCTAATGCAATAGAAATTTTACGTAGTGTTGGAGAAGATGCCTATCCTCAAACCGATCTTATTGCACATTCAGTTGAGCATATTTTACAGAATACACAATCGGGTGCAATACTTGTCTTTGTTCCAGGTCTTGTCGTAAGTTATCATCTTTGTAGTGGTGTTTGATTTCACTATAAAGATTGATATGTATGTACCATTCAGGATTTCGTTACAACTAGTTTTTTCATGTTTTAGATGCAATACTGTTATCTTACATCGTTTATTCATGATTGTTGATAACTTCTCTTGGTTGGCTGTGATGAAATAACTTGATTGTAGATTAAGTGATCTTTCCGTTGGTGTCGTTGTGTAACGAGTGATTGTAAGTTTTTTATATTTTTACTCTATAAAGCGTCTAACTCTGATCAGTAATCAACTTGAAGCTCAGTTTACGTGAAATATGTCATATAATTAAATTAAAAAGCTGGAAAATTTTAAAGTTAGTACAAAAAGATCATGAATCTTAAGTTTTAAATGTGTCCCTCAAAATTTGTATATGTCAATAAATCCAACTAATGAACTTTTTTCATGATATTCAAAAACATCCTGAACTGTATTAGTGTGGTGTATGCTACTTATGTTGACAGATATAAGTAGTATGTAGCACCGGTCAGAAGTGGACTGCCTGAGAGCAGATGTGCAAATAATGTACTTAATGCATGATTTTCAAATTCTACTAAACCACCGTGTGATTACGCATCGAACAATAAAATCGTTTTCCCCACCTGAATGTTCGTTCACTACAGTAGTATTGTATTTTAAAATATTTATTTTGATTGTTTTTCTGGGTTTTCAATACTATAAAGAAATTATTAAATGAATTCACTTAAAAAAAATTTAGCTTTAAAGTAAGTGGCATTGTACAATATGGTGCCAGTTCGACAGGATTATATTAAGATTACCACTAATAAATATCAAATCATTTTATTTCTGTTAATTTCTTGTGTGCACCTTTTTTCAACTTAAGGTTCCACTGTTTACTTCTTTGTTTATGTTTATCACTTATTAGGACATAAAAGATGTAATCAGATGTTTACGTGACTTAAATCCAAGACGATATGATGATCGTTATGGAAGTGTTAGAATATATCCATTACATTCAAGAATTCCCACATCTAGAGATCGCTCACTGTTCGAACCCTCACCAAAAGATCAAAGAAAAGTGATTATAGCAACTAATATTGCTGAAACAAGGTCAGTGGAGATTTATCACTACACTTTATTTCAATGTACGACTGTTTATCTATCTATCTATCTATATGTTTATATATTTTTTTCAAAAGACCGTCGAAAATATTTGCTATTCATAAAATTGCACTGTAATAAGTAAGTTACGATGCATATATGAAAATAAATAAGGTTAAATTTTATGACATATATTCCACCAAATGACTACAAACGGTGATCTTTTACATCAGTCCCATCTATTAACCAATAACATGCTGTGAAGTAGACGTATAACAAAAATCTGGCAAAAAGCCCAACATGAAATAAAATGTGGAAAAAGTAGTTGCATTGAGATTTGAATGATTCAAAGAGAAATTAGGATTAAATACATTTGTCCAATACTAACCATTGAGTTTTATTTTCTGTCTAATACTGTCTATTAAGCTTGTAGTTTCACTGAGGTAGAACTAACGTTTTATTACTTTTGTAAACGATGGTCGCATATCTTGTTATATCTAACGATACGGCTTCAACTGTCATTCTGTTTTTATTCGTTAGAGTGCTTACTTGGTATGAGTAAAACATTTTGTGACCGTTTCTCACTGAATCATCTGGATGTGGGATGAAAAATATTTAATTCGTTTGTCAGTACAGCTCATTTTAGTTCCTGACTCCGCATAATATGTCCATCAACCGCTTTCCTTTATTACGCTACACACATGCCTACATGTGGTTTTGAATGTTTCACCGTTGCTCCACGTATCAGTTGATCATCGATTTCAGAACATGGAATTTAGTGTGTTAAATATCGTTTCTCTGTTAGTGTAGCAAGAAGATAGCTGATCTAAAAAATGTAATGTATTCGAGTCATACATTTAAATCAACCTGGTCACACGTACATTTACATATTGAGGCATTTTTATATGAAGACCAATAAAGGTTAATTAAATACGAGTTCAATAAATATGACGTGATAATTACAAATAAATAATAGGAAAAAATAATATGAAACGATTAGAACTTATTACACCACAGTAGGTCTTAAAATGAATTAAAGACTACGAGGATAGATTCAATGTTAGGACAAACTACAATGTCAGTTGAGAATTGGTAATAATATTTTATAAACGGACGAGAAAATCTCTTAGCCTACCGATTTATTATTTACTTTTTAAAATTACAGGTAAGACTGATTAGATTCTGTCATTTTCTCTATTGATCGTTAATGGGTTCACAAATTCAATGTAAGGCTACATGTAAACTTGGATCAACCGATAACAATGAAAACATGCTAAAAATGTGATACACATCTGCTACCTACTAACAGGCTATTTCTAAAGTGATCTTAGCTAACTTCTTATGTAAAAATATAATACTTTTTGCTTTTGTATAGAGAATTTGAATGGTCTGCTTTGTGAAAGTAAATACCTTTCTTCCTCTGTAGCATAACCATTCAAGACGTAGTTTATGTGATTGATTGTGGTCGTATCAAAGTGACGGATTATGATCCGAGGCAGAACACATCAACTTTGACTGCGATCCTTGTTAGCAAAGCCAATGCAGCTCAGCGTTCTGGAAGAGCTGGACGGTAAGGTTTCTTAATATAAAATTTCAAATGACTTCGTATTCTATCTTTCCGACAAATTTTATCTCAAATAAGGAAATTTAAATTCTAATCATGTTCTTTTTATTATATTATGCTAAATTAATTTGCAATATCAAAGTAATAAATACTTGGGTGGTAGAATACGTCAATTACAGATCAAGTCCCCATAGTGATAAGGTATAGTATAATTATTTTAAATAAACTGGTATTTATTTAGTTTCTCAATAACCAATTATAATTTTAATGACTAAGTCAGAGAGTTGTAGTTGATTTTGCTAAATATTCTAACAAAATTCTGGGTCATGAAGGAAATATACAATAAGAAAACTGCTCTTCACTCATACTCTATGGTTCATAATTTTCTCATAAGTTTATTACGAATGTAGTGTAACTTGTCTAACAATGAAATGTTTTTGATTAAATATCAAGGCTTCAAAAACATTTAACGGTTGTTAACTCCGTTGAATACCATACTTGCTATCTGAAAAATTAAATGTGAAAGGATGTTAACGTTTATTTACCAAAATATTCCTACATTTTGTGTGTATTAAACGTGTCGATTGCTAAAATCAACTAGCGGGTTGTCATAAATTTTACATTTACAAGTCATGCATCTTGACTATATTCTTTGTATTAGTCTCGAAACTTGACAGTAATGTTACCCGAAGACATTGCTTCATACATTTTTTAAGATGATAATTAAAGACTTGCTTCATTCATTTGAGAATGTTACTGACTCGAGTTCCACCATGCTGAAATGATCATTTTGAGTATTAGTTTAGTGTTGTCTTGCTGTAATGATTTCAAATCCGTGGTGTACAATTGTATTTTAGGCTTTAAGTTCGCTAGAGAAACTATCTACTCGACTTTCGACTAATGATTATGATCAATTCACGGTACAAAAAGTCACAATTAACTCATGACGACAGCATTAGGGACAGAATTAAAAGAGAGTTATCATAAAACCTAATGGGTTTTTATTAGAATCTATGAACCATACTGCATTACAAACAATCAAAAACGGTTTATGTAGGTCAGCAGCAGTAGTACACGAAATATTAACTAAACTATTTACCACAAAGTCACCCAAATGCTTTAATATTCTGTTTAGTTTTTGTATGTAAGCTCTCTCACTTCTTGATTTTGAATTCCATTTAAAATAAACTTCGTCTGATTCCATCTGAGTTCTGAGATTTCTACATCTTACTTCTGCCTACCATCAGTACCACGAACATTTAGCAATATTCGTACCGTGTTGATACCTGTAATTACCTTTCTGTATCTAAACAATACTGCATCACTATGATTATTTATCACTTGAAAGTATTCGTTCAATTCTAAAACCGTTTATAAGTACCGTAATTTGTTAATTATACTTCTTACACATAGTTTACAGATAAAACAATTCACTTATTAGCGTGATAAGTTATCATCACATTTCGTACTATGTTGCACGGAGTAAAAATTATTTGACCCAAAAATATTTTAACTATGATTTATTAGTGAATCTGATATACTGATTCAGTTGTTTATTTCTACGAATTAAGTCATTTCAGGTTATTTTGCACTATTATTTAATTCATTCATGCAGAATTTCTCATTCTAACATCATCTCGGTTGTCTAATAATTCAATTTTCAATTACCAACTATAATATCTATGTTGTTAGCAAAATAATTATGTGTATGGTGTTCATCGGTTTCATGTTCTAAGTAAAAAGTTGCAAAGTTACTTGTTATCATAACTGCAATTGTTCAAGTTAGATGGATAGAGATCAAATATCTATGTACCACTCCGGTTGATTTCAGACCATTTCACTTAAGCTATCCAACCAGTGATTCTGTTTATGTCATGAAATTAAACCAAGAATTCTACACCAAACATGTACTTCTCCTATAATCAATGAACTCATTTTCTGATTTAATGTCTTTGAATTGCCGCTCATTGATCCTTTCTAACTTACATAATATTGTCTTTTCCAACATTATTATTATACCGATTCACGTGTATAGGTTTTTCGGTTGATTTTTTTATTAGTTTACTTATTTTATTCATAGTGTTTACTCAAATTTATCAATGATTGGTTGATCATGCTCTCTTTATTTTGAGTCGCAGTGCTTTGAAACAATGTAATTAAAACCAAACAGCTAAAGCCACAGAAAAAAACCGAGATAATAGATTATTTGATCTGTCTGTCTGGACTCATTGATTTCTAAGTATGTCACTTAACGTTCAGATAAACTACTAGTCATGTCTAACAATAGAAATAATGTGTTTGTGAAGTTCCAATGAGTAGAAAATTAAGTTTTTGACGTTTTGTGACTTAGTGTAAGTAAAATAGATAAACGAATTAAATTAACACAAATTGAAGTAGTGTAATTTTCTATTTATTAAAGCGTTAAAAACGTATTATTTCCATTATTAACGATCTACACAATGTTCAATCTATTCAAAATTATCAAGTCAAATCTTGATAATAATCAATAAATATCGAGATTTTTATTAGTGTCTAGTATATTGTGGTTTTATCATCACAAATCTTTTTTTACTCTCAACCTTAAGCTTAGCCATTAACGTGCAAGTGTCACTCATTGTCTCAGTTGATCTAACTTTTCTATTTGAAGTAATTATTTTCCCTAAACTAACTATTATTCCATTTTGAAGAAAAGGATCTTTAACTTACAGCCCGTAAAAACTAAAATACAATGTAGTCATGAATAAAGATTACTTTATCTTCCACCATTTCTTCGGAATAATATATACTCTAGTTAGTTTTAGCACACACAGAATCAGGCATTCACAGCATTCATTAGTGAATGCCTCCAATTGTATGATCATGTTTACGAATGGTAGTAGGGTTACTCATGTATTCGCTTAAAATGTTCGGTATATTAATAATTGTCTAAATAACTTTTTTCTTTCTGCATCTTCCTTTAATTATTCCTAGTGTACAGCCTGGCATCTGTTATCATTTATTCCCAAGTTATGTGTACAATAATGTTATGTCAGATTTCCTACAACCAGAAATGTTACGTGTCCGTTTAGAAGATGTGATTTTAAGAATAAAAGTAATCAGAGCTGTTTTGTATTTTTTCTAATATTTATTCTTCGAAACAATTCATTTTACATACTGTATACCAGTCGATCACTTCCGTAATCCACATCAGTAAAGTCCGATATGTCCGTTTTGTTCTATTTGAGACCCTTCAGCTGGATGTACGTGAATCATAATTTTGATGTTTATGCTGTGATTTGAACCCAATACATTTCACTCGTTATATAATGAGCTGTTAATTCAAGATAGCTACTAAAGTATTTTACAAGTATAAATGTATTAGTAGTGATTTTTTTATACCCGTTTTTGACTGAATGGGACTAATGAGGGAATTTGCTGAGGATAAAAGTATACCAATAGAATAATTAAATCCACTTCTTAATATCAAAAACGGGAAAGCTCAAGCCCCTACATGTATGTAGTAATTTGTTGATAAATTCCTTTAATTTCTCATATATAAGTGTGTCTTTAACAATCATTCACGTACTGTAAAATCTTAGATCTCTATTAAAATATCAAATTAAATGTACAAATATCCCACGTTGACTCTTAACTGCTAAAGTTCATCTGTGTTTATTGTCTTTTCAAATTTTAGAAAGTATTTCATTTCATTTCCGAAGAAAACGTTAATTTCTCGATGTCAAATTAAATTGCTTAATTTTCACGGATAAAATTCCTTGGTTAAAACTATGCTTAATCTCTATAAGTATTGAAGCTGTATATTTGCATAAAACAGTTGGCTAGTGTAGTGAAGCAACTCGTTCAACTATCTCTGTTTGTATCTGTGTTTTAAATAGATCTTATCAATATTTGAGTCAATCTAGTAGTATATACTAACTCCATCAGTTCGCCTGATTACATTGATCAGCTATATTTATAGTTTAATAAAATTAAATTATTCGATCCAATAAAATGTAGAATATGCTTCTCATTAAATTCCTTAATGCATAATATTTAACTTACATGCCACTATCTCATAATCAATCATAATCGCAACAGGTGTTAAACCCTTCCATAAAAGTAATAATTTCTAAGAATTCTTCCCTTCTATTATTTTCTCTTCTGTTCAGATTCTTTTAAAAAGTACAACCGATAAACTAAAAAAATAACAGAGCTTCTTTTTCGTCTTCACCTTTTCTATTTAATAGATCACATCTCTCAGTATTAATTTAAACCCTTTGAATAATAAATGAATGAATTTAGTTGACCTACATAAAAGAATATCAAACAGAACTATATGTCAACTTTATATAAGTAGGCTGCAGTGAACACTCATTTATGAATATGTTTATTCGATTTCACTAGTGTACAATTAATAGTGAACTAGTTGAAAAATAGCAACTTGAAAGAAAAAAACACCGACGACATTGATATTATATTCAATCAATCAATAAACCTGTTGCTATCACTATGCATTTATTTTATTATTATTATTTCTCAAATTATTTATCCTCATTTTTTTACGGAGTTACACTGTCAGTCAGACACTCAACGACTTTTTCTGTTTTGTTTAGGGGTGTATACAGTACTTAAAATAATGCATAGTTTGTTTTTAAGCATCCGTTTGAAAATTTTAGAGAGATATTTACAGATGATTGATCACTGAGCGGTGATAAATGTCATGGTTGTTTAGTCCTTTTAGTGCTGATCGAATTGTGTCCATCCATTTGAAATGTATTCACTAATCTAAGTAACTAGACATCGAGTGCACTATAGTGATATGTTATTTAGTTCCAGTTTGTCTATAAGAAACCTTGAAACTGGGTTTTGTTCCAGTTAGCATTCATCAGCAATGTTTACCTATAGTCTTGAGGGCACAAACGATCCTTGTGAGATCTGAACCTTCATCCCCTTTACGAATACCGGTTAGCACAAAACCTAAATGGAGAGTTTCTTGTCAACTACTTCTAACCACCCAATATTTTCCCACATATTGGTTGTTTTCAATTGGTACCAAATTTTTGTTGTTAGATTAATGAATTTACACGATTTGTAATTACAATTAGATTACAAGTGATATTCTTGAAAAACGTTGTTACTCCTACTATTAATATGAGATGATCATTACTACTGAAAATAATAGATTAGGCTCTGTCCTAATAATCTATCGTATTGAATAAACATGCTCTATGAGAATATGAGGAAGTTAAAAAAAGTAAATAAATGATGAGAAATCATAACGTCAAATAAACATGGTTTAGATTGTTTGAAGATTTATCTGTACCGTTATCATAAATGAAAATTGATGTATGCTGTAATTCAATTAGTTATTTGAACTAGTAAATATATTTATTTTTATTGTGTTTACAATCGAATTCATTTGTTTTGTACGTTCGCTTAGTTACTTTTTGTGTGTATGCTTTTTGTTTAGTTGCTAGGCCTCGGTCGTGTAAAGTCTTTCTTAATCCATTGTCTTGATTCTCCTTCTGAAGATGCTATCTCAAAAACTTTGATATTTCTTAGACAAATTCAAGCTTTGAAATTAATCAAATCAGAAACATCGAATTTTAATACATCTCATTCAATAAAATCTCATGAAAAAGGTCATAAAGTCAATCGAAAGTCTCTTCGAGAATTTTCAGAGGCTATTAAAAAAGATGTAAATGCTATTGGTGTAGATTCTTTGGATTCTAGTTGTATCCATTTAGATTCAGCAGATGAAGATGACGATGAGTTAACTCCTCTTGGTGTACACTTAGCCAATTTCCCACTGGATCCACAATGTGCTAAGCTTTTAATTTTCGGTGCATTATTTGGTTGTTTAGAACCAATTTTAGCTGTCGCTTCGTGCTTAACATTTCGTGATCCATTTGAAGTACCTTTAGAGAAACAACAAGAGGCTGACCGATGCCGAATAGAATTGTCTCAGAACTCTTTAAGCGACCATTGGGTATTTGCTACAGTTATTCAAGTAAGATACTATCTTTTTAAAAAAATTCATTTGATGGCCAAGGTATGATTTTTTTTACCAGATCATAAACTTACTGACGTTAGTTCCATAATTATTTATTTCTAGAATTTCTACTAATTGTGTATATTTTGTGCAAATATAGATTTTCAAGACATGAAAGAATATTTGACGATTACTTACTTACGCCTGTTACTCCTCGTGAAGTAGCATAGGCCGCTCACCATCATTCTCCATCCGACCCTGTTCTGGACAATCCTTTCCAGCTCTTTCCAGTTGTTACTCATCCTTCTGTCAGCTGTCTTCCATGCACTACTTTGCACTGTAGTCCGTCGTATGAGTTCCGGATAATGTTGACAATCGTCTCAGAAACTCCGTACTCTCAAAGAAGTTTCCATAACGTTCTCCTATCTACACTGTCAAATGCCTTCTCATAATCAATGAAGTTGATGTATAGTGACGAGTTCCACTCAATTGATTGTTCGACGGTGATCAGCGGTGTCACAATTTGGTCTGTGCACAACCGATCTTTACGGAATGCAGCTTGTTGATCTCGAAGTTGGGCATCTACTGCGTCTTTCATCCTGTTCAGCGACACTGGTAAACACTTTCCCTAGTACTGACAGTAATGTGATGCCTCTGTAGTTTTCGCACTTGCTCAGGTCTCCTTTCTTTGGAACCTTGATGAGGTGTTCTTCTTTCCAGTCCATCGGCACTTGTTCCTCCTCCCAAATCTTCTTGAATAGAAGATGAAGCATGCTTGTAGTTACTTCGATGTCTGACTTCAGTGCTTCAGCTGGTATATTGTCGGGTCTTGTTGCTTTCCCGCTCTTGATTTGTCTGATGGCCATTCTGATTTCTTCTGTCGTTGGTGGATTGACATCTATAGGAAGATCTGTGTGTGTTGCTTCAATATCCGGTGGATTCATTGGAGCCGGTCTGTTCAGGAGTTCCTCGAAGTACTCTGCCCATCTGTTGCGCTGTTGTTGAATTTAAGTGATTGTTCTTCCTTCTTTATCTTTGACCGGTCTCTCTGGTTTACTGTATTTCCCTGTTAGTTTCTTCGTTGTATCGTAAAGCTGTTTCATATTTCCTTCTCTTGCAGTTTTCTCTGCTGTCGTTGCTAGGTCTTCCACGTATTTCTGTTTGTCGGCTCTAATGCTCTTCTTCACTTGCTTGTTTGCTTCTATGTACTCAGCTTGTGCTTGGACTTCCTCTTCTATTGTTCCGCTGTTGTTAATTGCTGTCTTCTTGTTCTTGCTTTCTTTGGTCCTGTCCAGTGTTTCTATAAAGATCCATTTCTTGTGGTGCTGCTTCTTGAAGCCCAGAACCTCTTGACACGTTAAGTTAATGCTTCTTTGATACCTTTCCAGTTATCCTCCATAGTAGTTTCTTCTTCCGTCAGCAGATCTTGTAAGGCTTGAAACCTGTTGTTGAGAGCTATCTTGAATTCATTGAGTTTGTCAGTATCTCGAAGGAAGGCTGTATTAAACCAATGTAGTGCTGTTTGTCCAGTTCTTCTTTAGCTTCAGTTTCAATTTGGCCACAACTAGGTGATGATCTGAAGCTATGTCCGCTCCTCTCCTGGTTTTCACATCTTCCATTGTCCTTCGGAACTTTTTATTGATGCAAATGTGATCTATCTGGTTGACTGTGGTGTGGTCCGGTGCGATCCATGTAGCCTTGTGTATACGTTTGTGTGGAAATATTGTACCGCCTATGACCAATTTATTGAATGCACACAGATTTGCAAATCTTTCCCCGTTTTCGTTTCTCTCTCCCAGTCCATGTAGTCCCATGATGTCTTCATAGCCGGTGTTGTCCATTCCGACTTTGGCGTTTAGATCTCCCATCAGAATGGTGAGGTCCTTTCTTGGGCACTTCTCTATGATTGATTGCAGCCTCTCATAGAATTGATCCTTGACGTCGTCGTTGCTATCATTTGTGGGTGCATAACATCGTATAACATTCATTGTAATCCCCTCCTTTGTTTTGAATGATGCTTTGATGATTCTGGATCTGTGAGATTCCCATCCTACATGTGCATTTCGTGCTACTTTGGATAGCATCAGAGCAACTCCCTGAGTGTGTGGATCATTTTCCTCTTCGTGACCGGAGTATAGCAGCATCTCTCCCGTATTTAGCCTTTGTTGTCAAGCTTGGGTCCAATGCGTTTCGTAGATTCCCAGTACTGCCAAGTTGTATCTCCTCATTTCCATTGCCATTTGACTGGTCTTTCCGGTCTCCCACATTGTCCAGACATTCCATGTACATATAAAAATTGTTGCTCTGGTTGTTAGAAGGGGCATCAGCTTTGTGGCTTCCGAAGGAACTCGGCCTTCACCATGAGGCGTCATATTTCTTCTAAGTAAAGACCTAACTCCCAGGGCTTAGTTTAAATGGTTTGAATTATTTTTTATGGTTAGCGTTTTTAGCGAGTTAGTTTTCTCTGGGATAGGGTCGCCAAACCCCATGCTCAACCGTCCTCCTTTACCCGGGCCTGGGACCGGCAGTAACTCTAGAAGAGCTACAGGCGGAGTTAATATTTGACGATGCATACCATTAAATACGAAACTTTATTCCATATTCATTACCGAATAATTTTCTATACAGTTATATATAATACAGCTTGTATTTAGTTTCAGTTTTCTGTTTATTTCAAAAAGCAGGAAAGTATTCGACCTGACAGTGTAGTGTCCGTTTTATTGATAGTATGACTTAATTCTAAACAATAAATCTTTCAAATAGTACTAGTTCATAATGTCTTGTGGTTAAACATATTAACATATATTTTTGTCTTCTAAAAATAGTCATAAATTCCTTCTGCTTCTCTTTAATTATGACACTTAAGTCACTTTTGAACACTAAATTGCTTCTGTAAAGTTAGGGAATAACTTTCAAACCTATTTATTATGTTGTCACACCACCGACCCTCAAAATAAACACAAATTTTCTGGAGGTTTGGCATGAACTCGTGGATTATTACCAGCATAGACGAAAAACATATATTAGATAGCCGCTTGGTTTCATGTAAATTGTCTGTCGAAAATGATGTGATAGGCTCACCGAGTCATATATTCTAGCGCTCAAATTTTACACGTTGACTTCTAAATTCTGAGGTCCAGTTAAGCGAAGATACATTTCAATAAGCTTCTGAAAGTTCATTTACCAAAACTTAAGTTATTTTTACTATTTCTGGGCCAAAGTTAGTATATTGACGTTCAAACAGTAAATGAAGCTATGTATAAATCGACAAATCCGTGATCGTAAAGCGAATGAGTAAATGGCTGATACGATGTACAGCTCGTTATCATTGCAATAAAAATGTCCTATTAACCGAATAATATCTTTTGTGTCGTTAAGTTCTCATCATTTGTCTACAACCCGCAATATTTAAAAATCCAAATTAGAAAGTAGATTGGAAATAAATCCGATTGAACGTTTTTGTGAGCATACAGCTGCACAATATAACAAAAATGTAATATAATGTAATATATAAATGTAATATATATAATATTTAGATAATAATAAACGAAACTATGTGTTTGAGACTGTATTACATACTGGCTTTCATGTGCTAACCAACCAATACATTATTTATTTGATTTCATAAAGTTTTTTCTGTTTCATTTTCATATCTAAAATAATTAAAAAATTATATTTAAATGTTATGAAATGTTTTAAAAATAATTCTGTAATTAAAAACTTACAAAGCATTTATATTCATTAATTTCACTTTACTCTATTTGCATGAAAAATTCCTAGAGTTATCAAGGACTTAATTCACAAATCGAACGTCATCAATTTTGTAAAAGATATTTTCTAAATGAACGTACCATAAAGGTAATTTAATCAATTCTCTATCACTGACTTTAAAAAATCTTGTTTTTTATTTAAATTAGTTAATCAGAACATATTTTGAATCTCTGTGCTTTTTTTAAAGCTCAATTCAGAACACAAAAAAAACTCATTTAGTGCTGTTCAATATGTTAAACAACCAAATACTAATAAAAACAGACAACATAAGACAAAAGTGCATCATTTTGAATAAACAAGTCAACTATATTTATGAGTTGAAAAGAAAATCAACGACATCACTGAATGAAAAGCATAAAGTGACATAGTTTAAAGGCAGCTGAATAGTGAATGTTTCTGGTTCTATCCAATCAATTTTGAGCTATGCTACCTAAAAATTCAAACATTATCCAAACACTCTCTAATGTCGTGAGATAATTTCACATCTTTTTATAAACTCTCATGATCACTTCAGTTTAATCGATACTGACTGGTGTGGTGTTTCAGAGTAGTCGTTTATCTAAGCATGCATCACAAATATCACAAACACCCAAGTGTTTGACGTTTAACTTCGTTTACATTGTGATATAACCATACTACTTTTTTGTTCTTTTGACCATAAACAAGCAACCCTTCGAAGACTTTAACAATCAAATGCCGTCAAACTAAACACTTTTTTATACAGCCGAAAGACATATTTTGCGAGTTTATATTGTTACAGACCAAACTACTTTCCTCCATACTCACTTATGATAGGTGAACGATATTTCCACACTATATTTGACTTATTCATAACTACTTCATATAATCCGGATAAGTAGATTCTTTGCATTTATTTTGCTTCAGAAACAAATATGGTTTTAAATCTGTTAATTCATACCGGGTTTATATGTCAGTAAATATATTATCATATGATAAATTCTTGACTTCATTTCATGACATAATCATCGGTCGATTGTACATATGTTATAGCTAATATTTGGAACGAAATAGATTATAATTGACCAGGTAGAAATGGTGGCATATGTCTTCCAATTTTTTTTAGAATCAGGCGCTACATTGACTGACTAAAGTGCATTGTACATTTCAATAATTAATTATACCAATCACTAAAACTATATATATATATATATATATATATATATATATATATATATATATATATATATATATATATATATATATGACCAGTCTACATCAGTTTTATGCTTCAGTTGTACATTTGATAGCCCAATGTGTTGCATCGTCACTACCAACCTATAAATCATTCTACCTATCCAATAATATCTTGCAAATATTGCTGTAATTGCAAGCTGTTCACTGTCATTCTGGACAACATTATCAAAATCTAATTCATTTAGATGTGAGCTTTGCAGTTTCTCTACAAGCATCAAGTTAATTAGTTCTCATGACCTTATTTATGAATGGTTATTTTCATCTGTCTTCTTTCGTTAATGTTGGATCATTTGATTGATTGACCTTGTTTGTATGGGTGGGTAATTTGGACTTAGTCTAACGTGTTTATTGATTGTTGATTAATCTGAATCCAAAGTTCCATGACATTTTTAGAATCCTGACGTTTTCTTATTCGGTCATTCAATATTATCTATGTAGTCGTGTTAACAGATTCAATTAACTTGTAAATATTAGGATGAATAAACATCAAAATAACAGTAATCATAATTATACCTTGTGTTGTAGAAGAATGAATATAGTCGCAATGTTTTAATGACTAAATAATTAGTTGGTAATTAACTTTTAGAAATAGTTTCCAGTTATTTCGTATTCACTTAGTACTGGTAAATTGTTTGCATATACATTTAATGGAATTTTCAGTCTAAAAATGTCATGCCACGTAGACGTATTAGAATTACTATTTAAATTGGATTTTGAAAATTTATAAATTGAACTATAAATACAGCAAGTAAAATCTTCACATGTCCTAAAATGGATATCTATATTTTGTGTTTCATTACTTTTCCTAGTTCGTAAAAGTCATTTAGAAGTGTTATTCTCGAAGAGCTCATATTGTTGTGTTTGTGACTTTTTACTTATATACCTAATAAATGGCTAGTATTCCCATTCAACTTACAGTCCGTTATCTATTACTTCAAATGCTAATATTTTCTATTTTATTGCTAAATTGTGATAACTAATTTCAGAATCTAATCATTTTAGTATTATGAACTTCTTTCCATATTTTTTTAAAAAAAAGATTTCTTGCAATTAGTTTTTTACCCAAACACAAATTGAAACCATTATATTTTTTATTAATTGCGATCGATTGAACTCAAAAAGAAATTTTTTCATACATTCAGGTCAATTATTTTAACCTAAAACTCTGCGATCTAGGGGATACAAAGTATATAAAAATCTTTTCACTAACACACTACATTTTTGATTGAGATAACCGATTGACGTTAGACCACCATTGAAAACCTGGAAGGCCGTTTCGTCCTATTGTGGGACTCCTCAGCAGTGCACATCCACGATTCCGCCTGTGGGATTCGAACCCAGGGCCTTCAGTCTTGCACGCGAACGCTTAACCTACTGGACCACTGAGCCGGCATCCAATGATGCTAATGTCTAACCTCAACCAATCCACAAAGTTGCGCAACCATCTTCCATTGTACTGAGGTAGATACCCGTTTCTACCTGACACGGATTAGCTCCACTGGTCACGGCTTCTCACTAGAACTCCGAGAATTTTCTCACGAAGCTAGTCACTAGTGAGCACATGGTTTTTTTGTCAAGTAGGGTGTTGTTTAATTGGCTTGTTGATTAAAGGTTTGTTTTTTTGTTGCACTAATCTAAAACCAGCTGTTTAAATATAATAACTTTCAACGTGTAAAAGGCAACACTGATTCCATCACATTGTAAAAATAATTGCGATTTTTATTTTTATCATTTTTGTCAATAAATATATATGTGAGCTGTGAAATTAATTTATTTTTTTATCTACTTTGCTATTTTTTTTCTAAAAAATCTAAGATATACAATCAAATAGAAACAACTCACATTCTATCCTAATGAACTGATTTTATGTTTATTGGTCTGTAAAAAATTATTTATGTTCTCGTGCTATTTTTCATGATATACTTCATGTGATCTCACTTCATTAGTACACATATATGTGCATTTAATTTTTTTGTTTGTTGATAAATGCAAATTACATTTCTGTCACTGTTTTTACTTATATATTTTAATCGATCAATGCAGTATCTTCGTGTATTTTCGTTTTCATATCTTTTATTCTAATTTTTTCATAGGATATTATTCGACTTATGAATGACTATGCACAATTGTTATATGAACGAAGGTATATTGCCACTCCGAAACCTAATGATTCGAATGCAAACTGTAATCAATGTAAGTTGCTTTTCCATTAAAAAAAATTACTGTGTTCAGAGAGCATTTTAAATGACTTGTTAATTGTTATATTAGAATACTGACTCAACCGCTCTATGGTCTTTCACCGTGGCAATGAACTAAAAATATTGGGTTCTATTACGTATTTATGTGTTTGTAAGAGTGGAACGGCACGAGTGGTCACTGTTTTTTACTATTTCACAATCCATTTTGAACAAATAATGATAATCCGATCTATTTTAATACATAATTCCATGTCACAAATTTCATCAATGAAATTTAATCCATATTGTTTAATATATGCATATTTTTACATACTGCATTCTTACTAAATGAAATACTTGTTTTTTTTTACTACCTAATAAATTATTATTTTAAATCACACTGTTATGTTAATCAAAGTACAAAAAGCGATCTATATTGTCTCTCTCAAATACATTTTCAAAATCTATACGTCATCTATAATTTCCTTCTTTTCTAAATTTCAACTAATTAGTTCGCTCATATTTGAAAATCATTTATTGGTGAAAAATGTTCACTGAAAGTTCACTTTAATCTTTTGTGAAAATGTTCACTCGAAGTTAAATAATTATTTATGATCACAATTATCTTTGATAGTAATTATGATGAATTTGAAATAATCAAGAATATTCTCCGCTCATTTGGTTAATTTCGATTTTTTTTTAATTTCCTGGGCTATCAGGAATCAGTAGCTAAGTGGATAACACAATGGCGTTTGAAGCGAACGGTACTCGGTCCGAGTCCCGAAGCGAACATCAGCCCTGGGATGTAGGCACATCCAGTTGAAAAGTCCAAAATAGGACGAAACCTGCGTTCTAAATTCGACTGCTAGCCACCATGCATCTTTGCGCACAAGTTATTTACTTATAAATAAATTTTATATCAAGGATTTTCAACCTACTATACAATTTTATCTCTGAAAATTAATCAATATGATGATGTACTAAAAAAATTCAAACCATTTTTTCTCTGTCCTAATAAAAAAGGTTTTAGAGTTTCTATTTCCCTGTCAAATTCCTACTTTACCTCACCGAAAATCGGTGCAATGGCCTGATTGTCTGTTTAAATTTATTACTTGCTGTTTTACAAGGCTATAAATGAAATCTGCATACTAAACAGTTGTATCTTCCTTTAACGTTGGTATAAAACGATAAAATTTCTCTCATAATCAAATCTTCCATTTTCTCATATATTTTGTCTTTTCTAGCAAGCACGATTAAACCATGTTGATTGTATAACCGTGTCATCGATTAGACGCCCATAATTCGTAGTATCTAAGTGTTTACCTATCGGAGCGTAACTTCTCAAACCACAAACTATTTTGGCATTGACTATAAAGGATTGAAATTATCCTGTTTTTGATTTCTTAATTGAATTATGATCAGTCTTCATTGATAGATGAGCATCTATTCATCCTATAAATGTTTTTGACAAAATGGTTATATCAATGCATTCTGCACAGAATGAGCCAAAATGTTAATTACTCAATAATTAAAATCCTTTCTAATAACAATATAAATTTCATACCTGTTGTAGAAGTGAGTGGTTATATGGACTCAATAACTCAGTGGATGACGCGTTCATCTTTTAGAGAAATAGACACTGGGTGCGAATCCCTGCGTCGACGTCAACAATAAAATGCAATTATATGTAGCTATGAAGTCCCAACTAGGGTGAATTGCGCATCCTGGCTTTCTCTGTTGTCCATAACCGATCAATTCTATGGAACTTTATTACTAATCGTTTGTATTTTTCGATCTTCATTTGACTAACTTTAGTATCGTACCGATATCTTATTGTGCGGTGATGATAATTAATCAATTTCCTATTACTAACTTTTTTGTATATCGAAATCTGTAAAAGAAATTTAAAAACCGAAATTACACTAGACAAACATATTTTTGTTCGTTAATCATCTCTGCTCACCCTAGATCCCTGTAATACACCATATGTATTCATTTTCGCGGAATACAGAAAGGAGTTTGTTTTGTCAAATATTAAATGTTTTTAAACTCATTCCGCCTGTCCAGATAACTAGTACAACGGTGGCTGTTTACATAATGAAAATGTGTAAATCAGTAATATTCTTGCACTGTATACCTTAGATTCTTATGACTTCAATAGATAGATAATCAAATGTTTAAAAATACTTTAAAAGTGTAAATAGAATTCACAATATGGACAGTTGTTGAGTGAATAATGTCCTCCAATTTCAATTTTCTCTCAACTATTTTGATCACCTGTTTTTTTCATTGTATACAAATACTGCAGTTGTCCTACCCGTTCTTAACTTCTATAAATTAATTTACTACGAATGCTTACTGTATTAAATCATTTACAATAAATTATCGCGATATTAAATACTAGAATACAGTTCTAGGCACATTTCATTTTTTATCTAAGCTTTGAAAAGATTGAAAGATAAATATATTTGGATTCAAACACCCTATGATGAATGGAAAATTGGTTATAGTAGTTGAACTGGTAGAAAATTTTAATGGTTTAATACATGATATTGACTGTTAAAAACATTTTAAAAGTTTTTTTTTGAATAATTTCAATTTTAATTTATGCTAAAGAGATATTTGTTTAAGTATTGCATAATTATTTTTGAGAATTCTTTGTTGTGACATAACTTAGAGTATTGAACTAAGTTATTTTTCGATTATTATTATTATTATTATTATTATTATTATTATTATTATTATTACAGATTGTTTTCATTTCATGTTTAAATGATTTGTGTCAACTAACTGATAGTTCTTTGACCTAAATTTTTGTCTAATCATTACTGATATGAGCATCTTTCATTTCATGCCAACAAGTTTGTTGTAATCGATAAAAGAAACAAAAACATGATTTTAAATAAAATTGAAGTATATATGAAACATGTTTAAAGTATTTACTCGAGTTGCTACATAGAGATCGTGTATCATTTCATGTGGAATCACCATATGATGGGCAAAATGTAGGCCTAACATTCAGATCTTTATTGATTAGAGAGTGAGTGGCCGACAAACCAAATTCAATTACTTATGACATTGTATCATAATAATATTTTGTATATAATTGCGCCATTTTATTACTATCTTTATTTCGTTTTTGATGTAACAGGGAATATCAATCTTTTCCGAGCAATAATGTGTGCAGCACTATATCCAAATATTGTAAAACTGGATCCAAGATTTACGTAAGTTTTAATGTTATTCCCATTATTATTTTTCAGTCCTCTTAATAACAGTCTCAAATTAGCGTAACGGATTCACCATGTTGAACATTAGAAATTATTTATTATTTTATTTATTTTAACACATATTGGTACAAGGAGGCACCAAATACATATGCGCCACACGAATCTCAATTGATTTGTGTGAGGGCTGTGAAACTGCCAGGGTGCCCAAACCGAAGCAGGTGGTTTTCTTAGGGGGCCACACCCCGAGCCTTCGACCTGAACGTCTGACCCACAAGGCAGTGGAGCATCGTAAGAAGATGCAGTCCCATGGTAGCCGGTGACCAACGATTGGTTCATACGCCATTTGTTCCTTCAGGATACTGGAGCCCATGTGCACCATTGGTTTGGGATCCGGTCAAAGCGCCGGACATTCGCTTTTCGTCCTGTCGTTTTCGTGAAGAAGCACCCCCGCCACGAGAAGGCAGTGAGTAGGACTTCCCTGGCAGAGGCTATATACGCATGACCATGTGAGAGCATTTCGAGAGGGAGAGCGGACTCTCCCCACTCTCGGCCGTACCAGGGCATTTGGGGGCAGAACATTAGAAATTAATATAGTTTTCTGTTTCATTTGTATAGAAAGTCAAGAGTTTAGTTTATTCAAAATACAATTAACATTTAATAAAAATAAATCCTTAATCCAATACCATTGTTTCCTAATCTGTATATATTTATTTTACTTTATACATTCATCATTAGTTAATCCAAAGTAATAATTATCTGAAATTTTCAACTAATTGATGTACTGACTTTTTAAATTTATCTTTTTGTTCGTCAATTAGAGTGTAAAATAATTTTCTTTTTCATAGTTCAATTCTTAGTAAAAATATTAGAAAGTAGTATTCAGTTGTTTGTAACTATGATCTAGTTGTGTAAAATTAATTCACTTGTACACTTATTTATCGTTTTAAGATTATATTGTATAATAAATGGACAGTATTATGACACCGATTAATGTTCAATTCTGAATAAATAAACTGTTAGTCATTAGTTTAAGCAAACAACTTTCAACTATTGTATCATAAGATTAAATCTTTCTCTCTAACTATCGGAATTTCCAGACTCACTTATTGTTGTCTTTGTTGACTATATCAAACATTGTGTATAATAGAATCTTTTTTCCTAAACTTGAACGGTTTTCTAAGCACTAGTTTAAATTAATCAATAGATTTTGTAATAAAATTATAACTCTATTAATTTATTTTGTCCTTTTTTATGCATTTCTTCGACATATCCAACTTGCCGTTTACTAGTACGAAACGTCCTGTTAATCTCCAAACTCATAGATTAGTTATTCAGGTAGTAATGGAGCCCTGTAATCTTAGAAATATGTTATTGATCTGTGTTTTATTTACTACCCTAGCAAATGTCTTTTCCACATGTACTTCCAAAAATAATCTCGGTAAATTTGTGTTCCTGTTAATACACAATTGATATTTCTGAGTTTACGTTGAACGTTCTAGGTAAATAAGATGAATTAATTAGTTATCGGAATTCTTAGGATTGTCGCCTTGATGCACAATTTCAGTAGGAATAGTGGAAACAGTACAATGAATGAACTACTTGTTGCTGAATTATTCAATGATTAACTAGTGTTCTGATGTGTAACGTATTCTTCAACTTCCCTAGCTACGTAGGACCAGGCACATTGAAAGTTGACAGTGGAAGATTTTACACCTTATATTTATTTATATCCTCATTTTATCATACTCAACACTTTAAACAGGTTTATTTCATCTTTCCAATTGTTTTTTTGATAAGTTTATCCCTTCTGTCGTTTTTTTTATCTCATTTTTAAATTTAGAAACATTGTTTGCACAATATGTCGTTACATTGTTATTGTTGTACTAGTTTTTAGATATTCCACATGTATTATTTACTTGCATTCCATTATTAACCATTATTAATTAGAAATATATAAAATAATTATATCTACAATTCAATGTCTTTTTCATTATTGAAATGCTTTTGATATATAGGTTGTATTAATATTTTGTATTTATTAATATTTTTTATTTCTTTGTAATAATTTAGTAAAGAGGGCAAACCTAAACTACCGGTCATTATGGCTTGTCCATCTGAGGGTAGAGCAAATATTCATCCATCGTCAGTAAATAGTAAAATTCAACCAACTGAGCCTATATGGATGGTTTATTTTACAAAAACTAAGCTTGAATCAGGATCTGTAAGTTTAACCTTTATTTAAAAAAAAAGATTGATTTATTTAGTTATATTGACTGATACTTTTTTCTGCAATCACATACCATATAAATGATCCAAGCTATACAGTCAGACATCATTTCGACAACTATTTCGTAATTTTTAATCGATAACATTATATAATTATCATTGTGGATGGTAAATTGTAGGCTACCTTTCATCTTTTTAAAAATATCCTTTCGAAAAGACAGTAATTCATAGATTACGAAATGAATATAATTTTCGTTGTCTCATATACTATATCAATTTGCATTAATTGTCTTAAACTGAGTTACATTAAGAAATCATCTTTCATAACAATTATTATAATATATAATATCTACATTTAAGTTACTGACATTTTCAGAGTCATTTGACCTGCGCCATAATCTGTTTGACTTGGTGACTAAAATACTTGAATTTTAGTCATTGTTTTATACACTTAACATACTTTTGTTTTAATTCACTTTTGGTAATCCGAAAGTGTCACAACCTCTCACAGCTAAAGTTTGATTCAAGAATCCGTAGATGAATTTATACTTAGTTACTGATTTGTATGAATTTAAAAGTAAAGCACCAAGAATCAAGAACATTACATTCGGTGTTTATAAGCTGTTTCCGTAAAGTTTCTAAGAAGTTCTTTTCCCAGTCAATGATAACTCGGAAGAGATTGATGAGCAGTAAAATTTCATTTGACTCGTTTCCTGTAGAAAGGTTAGTATTTGACTTTACATGAGTTAAACTTAATTATTTGTATGAGTTTTATCTGCTTGAAACAGTGAGTTTCTAAATACTCTTATTTTCAGTAATCACACAATATATTTTGATATTTCGTAGTACTGCAGAGCTGTATAAAGCATATGTGTTAATTATTTTGTTTAGTTTAGAATCTGTTTTGTCGAAACGTGATACCCAGAAAATTGTCTTAACTTAGCTACTCCAATAGGCAGAACCTTATAAGTTTCTGTCACTTTTGTTATACACGTAAATGTTTCGGTAAAAAGAATTAAATACTAAGTTTTAAATTCAGTTTCATAATGATGGTCATTCTATCTGTTACACCAAAAATCAACTCAATTCAACAATCACATACTAGGTTATAAATCGCATCTGTTGTGGGAAAGCTTATAGAATGTTTGAATTTATCATCCATTGCCTGATAACTCTGAGTTTGAACTGGTTACTATATATTTTCATACAATAATTTTAAGAAATACAATCACGATGTATTTTGGATATCTCAATGAGTAGAAATTAGAATTTCTAACGTTTCACAACTCCTTCAGAGAGTGGGCAAGTAAATAAGCGCACTAAATTAACACACTGTTGAGTCATTCAGTCTAAAGAATGAAACTTCACCCAAATCATCCACTTGAGCTACAAACCTTTTCCTCCTCAAATCAGCACAAGTTTAGATAGTAGAGATGAATAATGCAGAATATGTTGTTAAACTAGATTCTAATGGAAATTTAAGTTTAACCACTTACTGAAAACCAGAGCATTTAACTCTGCACATCTATTCAGTGCTCAGAATTATCATGGCTCTAAATCCATTTTGAACAGCTACCAAGATCATTAACTCAGAAGGTAAATTAATGGGACTTAACGTCTTACGATTTAACAATTGTCCTAAGAATCCTGTTGAAAACGTATTAAAATAAACGATTTATCTTTAAATAACAATTCAAATGAAATATCCTGTATTGGTACGGTAGTTTCACCCTACCACCATGGTACGACGGAAGAATTTCAATGTTTTGTTCATAAAACAACCAACACTTTTCAAAATCCTATGATTCAAATACTTAGTTATCGTGTAGAATTTGATAAGCTTCGAATAAAATCAGCAATAGCAGTGGTTACCATCTTCAATGACCATAAAATAAGTACAAAAGACAGCGAAATAATTCAAAAAAGCTTTTTCAACGATATAGGTAGGTGGGTAGCTTTCAATGGAAAAATGGCGTGATGATCATCCAACTTGGACCGTTTATCCAAACAACTACATTTAATTTTATTAATTTCTGACTCTTAATACACACATACGTAAACAAATTTCACATTGTTCTTACCCACCAGCGTACACACAAATATACACTGTAATGTCCCACATACACCTTGACTGGACAACAAAACATAGATATAAAATCAAAACTATTTGTTTTTGATTAAATTAGACATTCTATCCTGGTTCCGTTTATTATTTAAACCTCTATTAATTTAATTCAGTTATTTATTTACTTACTCTCTCGAGAAACGACTTAAACTGAATAGTTGTAAAAAGTTAGAAATTCTTATTTCTACTGATTAGGATACCACGTATAAATCATGATTTTATTAATAACATTCTACGAAGTACTCAATTTATTTAAAATTATCAAGTCACATTGATTGCCATCAGGTAAACATAGTAAACAAACCCAATTATTACATTGTAGTGAACGAGAACAACGGCGGTGACAACCAAATGTATTTCAACACAACATCACCACGATATTCTGATATCGTGGTAAAATCTAAGAACCATACAGCAATACTTCATTTGCAAAATATCCATCAGTTGTCTCAGGCTTTGTTGTTCCTTTGTTTCCATACCAATCACTCTCTGTTCTCGTTTTCTCTTCAATTTTCTCAACCTTCTACCGCCGGGCATTCCACTTTCTATTGTTGATATATACTACTTATAGCTGTCGACATCAGTAGCACACACCACAATATAACTTTGCTTTGCACGGCATTGCTTGATTTTTATTGACTATAATCAGAGCAGTAAAATAAGCAAGACGATTATCGGTAAGAAAAAAGTGCAATAGAAAATGTAAACAGTGATTGAGAAGGTTCTATGTGTTTATAGTTTGATCGGAACTACAGACAAATTGGGACTAATGTTGTCCAAAACAGTAGTTTTTCTTTATCTAATAATACCTATTACACACTTCTTTGAGTTAACTTCCAAATACTTAACGCCAAAAGTTGCACTTTTTAGCGCTTAATTCTTGCTCGCTGTTCTAATCACTGAATGATTGAATGTTCTCCTAGGGGCTAAAAACAAGTTTATTTAAAACAGTTCAATAATATATCTAGATCTCATACTCCAAATAACATACAAAACCTATTTTATTTCATTTCTATTTCTCCATTACTTATCAACTAGAAGAAGTTATTTATATATTTCTTCAAGAATAAAAAAATGATGCTTGCATGTCCAAAATTAATTTTTCCATTCTATCATAAATTTCATTGAATCGGGTTCTAAAGTAGTCTAATCTTCATTATGTATTTAGGTCAATTAATTTAGGGCGTGACTGATACTGAAATTCTGTATACTTTTGTTTCATTATATTATGGATATGTAGTCAATTGATGCAAGGTGTTAAATTCAATATTAAGAGTTTTTCAGCGTAACCATTTTTATTGTCACGTAAGCATCCTATCTTATTGGTTATTAACTACAAAACTGTTTGTTTGGCACTTAATCTCAATTAACATTTTATGCTTTAGCTTACAGTGGTTCTTTTTATAATTCTTCAGTCTCATTACATTTATTCGAACCGCTATCCCACCATTATGATGTATATCTAATTTTAGTGCTATAAATATGTAAACTTTACAACAATTTTGACTTTGAAATATTGTAGGTTGTAAGCAGCTGATGTGAACCTAACGAAATAAAATGAATTCATGTTATTCTACTCAATTCTTTGTTTTTTTTTCTCTTCAATGAAATTTGGATTAACATCGTAATGAAGAGACACTTTTACAATCTCACATGTCATTAGACAGTTAGACACTAAACAAACTTGAAACAATCCACAAAAATGCATTCGTTTTATCCGTATCAGCATCATTTTGATTTATTTTGAACTGTGTAATCTAGAGGCTAAGACTACCAAGCTTTTTGTCAGCAAAACTCATACATTAGTATTCAGCGACTCCCAATTACCACTTCGTACTTGATTGTGTTTAGACTTATTTCTACTTACCCCTTCTTTACAGTTAGTGGTGGCTTGGTAACATATACAACACTATTGTGTGTACGTTCTAAGTAAATGTTGATTTTCATACAGCATTAATTTCCATACTCTATGACAGAAAAATAAATCACATTCCAGTTAATATCATCATTAATATTGTTTTCCTAGAATATAATCAAATGATTTTTTTTTTGAATTAACTAATCTATAGTCATCACTTTATCATCCCAACTAAACTTAGATATAAAAATTGCTGAGCAGTTTTCAATTATTGCTTTTCTTTGTAACGATAATAATAATAATAAATAATAGATAAAAAGTAATAACTACTTTTAATCTCTTGATTTCATTGATTTGTTTTCCAGTATCCATCCATATTCGATTCAACTGTCATATCACTGAGACCTTTGTTACTTTTCAGCGGTAATATAGAAATTTCAAAGGTAAGTGTTTTATATATTGTTAGGCATACGGTTACTATCATTATTTGAGGTGAACTAATTATTTATTTCTTAATTATAATTATGAGAAATCTAAATTTTTCAGCTTAATACATTGATTTTATATTACAATAGAAATTGTGTTATATTTTTCTTTCTAAATAACATTGTTAGATTATGTAGAAGCTGAAAACGTGTAATGATGAATTTTTAAATTAGACGATTTGCAAAAGATCATTGAAATCACAGTTTAACAGTCTACAAATGTTTCTTTCTTGTTTTGTTTCGCATTTATTCATAAATATTAACCTTTTATTAAAAATTATTAAGAATTATTACCAGTTTTAAATTTTAGACTTTAGTTAAAAACTCAAATCTCTGAGACTAAGATTCGTGGTATGTTAACCAATATGTTGTTGTAAATAATTCTTAGAATATCTCAAGAGTTTTGAAAAGTCTACAAATTGAAACTTCTCACACGGACTTAAAATATTCAAATAACGTGTTATGAACAGAACATTTCTATTTTCTAGTGTCAATGTCCCCGAATTATGTTAGTTATGAGTACTACTAAAATACCATACGCAAAACGTAGTGTGTTGTAAATTGGTTCCATTTGTCCAAACACTATCCTATTCAAGTATGTATCAGTTATATATTTTTAAGTGTTTTATGCTCAAATTCTTACTCCCGAATACGGTCATAAACGTTGCAGATTAATTTGTGTTGTTTTTGAATTTTAATCAACAGAAATCGAACCTGTCTTCAAGACAGTCATACATTTTATAGCTTGTTGTAATCAAGGAATTCGATATAAAACATATGAAACCGAGTATTTATTTGTTTATGTAGCTGGTTGAACTGTCTAATTTAGCTCTGATTGTTTAACTGACGTTTATGTACTACTGACCGAGTTATGCGTTCCAAATGTTAACCACCAGTTGTTTCGATTGTCGAGAGTTCTCTATAACTAGTTAGGTACTCTACTAAGTACACTTCATAATGATAGCGTCCGAGTCAGGCTTTTATCTTCGGATTTGAATCAGATTAATGACTGATTTTTTCAATTAAAAAAACATACAAATAACATATATTCTGCATCTCATATTGTTTTGAAGGATTTCGTATGCGTATCTCTCATATTTGTGGTAGACATCTCAAAATATTCAATAGATCTTTTCACAGTTCATTTAATCTGTATGCTTTGTGACTAACAGATTGCAGTTATCATACTCCAAAAGCACTTCTACAATAGTTTACTGTTAATGAAAATAAAATAATAAATACATTTTCTTCTTTATCACAAGTGATGATTATTTCAGTTATGATGCACGGTACTCCTCCATACAAGAAGGTACTTATAAGAATTTCGTTGCCGGTTTACCGGAATAGAAATCTAAATCATAACTTGGCACCATACTATTTAAATGTGTAATTATTTCATATTACACGATCAAAAAGTATGGACAAGAATCACTGAATGTAAGCTCTATAATTCTTGATAAAAAACAGAAAAGTCATATCTCTTTAGAACCTTATCATTCAAATAACAACACAGATGTTTGGTCGTACCATTGAGTAATACAATTTTAGATCTATCCTTGTTTTGAGTTATAAATATTCTTTATTAATGAATTCTAACATGTACTGTAGCCAAGTCTGAATATTTCTATCAGTTACCGCTGACGATTCAGCATCAAATGCAATATGGGTTATTTAGCTTACTAACAACACTTTAAAGTTAACTGGTGAAACTGTTAGCAATAGGTAGGCATACTCTGTTTTCCGAATAATCACTTTTTTGTGTCAGAACCTGTTCTTTTTCCTTGTTTTACGATGCATAAAATAATTTTATGTAGTATGCGTTGGCAAAGGGTAATAAAATGTTCCTCTACTTTTATAGAATGATACAAGTCTTTTCACCATTGATCAATGGATTAAATTCAGCGGGGAGTTAAAAGTAGTCAATTTATTGAAAGTTAGTTGCAAAGTGATTAAATCTATCCTCTTTTATTGACTGATTGTTTAATTAATGTGTATTTACATACATTAATTTTACATATAAACCCTCAAATTAATGTAAAGTTCACTGTTACGTTAAGTTACACTTTACTGTGCCCACATTATAAACCTAATTAGCAGTGATTTAATCACTCCTGAGCGCGACACATAACATTTCATACTTTTCAGTGACTAATTAATTTGATAAATCATACATTCCAAGAACCTATTATTTCTCAGGTCTTTTAAATAAATACTAATGCCATTTCTATGCTTAGTGTTTGGTTAATATCCTTGGATATTTTTCAAAACTAGCGTTGTGGTTAAAACAGAATACAAAAACAACTATGGTTGCAATAATAATTCATGTACTCTGTCATACACCCACAATGCACTGTCATCAAGTAAAAGTGTAAACTTTCCAATTTAATCTGGAAATCAGGTTGTTTTATCTTTATAGAAATAAATTCATACTAGAAAATGATAAAAACACTGTAGTATAGTTTCTGACCACGGTTCAACTTGTCATTTTGTAGGGAGTAAGTTTTTGTAATACGTGTGCTGTTACCATAGGACAGACAGCTCAGTGATGACGTCTCAGACTGTGAAGTTGAGTGACGCGGGTTCCAATCCACCGAGGCGCGTTATTTCCCCCTCGATTACTGGTATACGTTGCTGATAAATACTAACCAACAAGAAACCTACATCCAGAGTTGCTTGCTGGCGATCCTCAACCATACCAAAGGATTTTATAGTATAACATTTTTAATTAATGACTACCTAACGATGAAATGGTTTAAAATGAATGAGATGAAATATTTCTTAAAATGCAGTAGAAGAATATAGATCACACATTTTTTAGTGAAATATCATTGTGTTATTGTATTCTAGTATACTTATATATGAAAAACTTTATCAATAATTGTACTATATAGCATAGTGAAAAAAATGATCGGTATGTTTTAAGAGTCCTGTCTGGAAAATATTGAAGTTTGTTTTTGAAATACATTTTCTGTTTATTTATCCTGAAGAGAAGTTTGAAGATTTAACTAAATATCCAAGAAGTTTTAATATCTTTAAAGTAGTACCTATTGTTTGATCAAAATAATAGTGCTCACTAGCGATTAATTTCATGAAGTTTTAATGAAAAGTTGCGTCTGGGCGATTTAAATCTTGTTAGGAGTGAGATAGACATCACCAATAGTACTCCCAGTAAACATAAGCGTTTAACTGAAAACGTAAGAAAATAAATTTAAATTGCCTTACATAACTTTATCAAAGTCCATGGATCCAACACTAGACTACACGGTTTGAAATCATTTTAGGAGCATGTGTTTTCTCATGATGTAAATATGTTTTGAACTTTAAAAATCTCAATTTGTTGATGTGATTGTTCCTATTTTAATGAATTTCCACCCTCTTAGTTTTCTAGTTTTTTTTATTGGTGCTTCATATACTGTGTGCATTGGCACAAAGTTAGGTCTATTTACATAAAACCTATCTTAGCTACAGATCATAGTTGTGGTTCCTATACTTTTTTGATGTTCTATTATAATATTAATAAGTATGACATTTGTCACAACTATAGATCGAAGCAAAATATCTCTAGAGTTAGAAGTCGCTGATGTGATTGGTTTTCATGATTCAGACATATTTTTATTAATAGAATATTATCTACTGTTTTTTACCATATCGACGACCAAAACTCCCTCTTGAGATTCGTTTTCACATATATCAACCAATGTTGCCCCAAATTAATGTCAACATTCCTAACCAATCAACTTCGTGTTGGTTGAAGTCTGTCGATGGAATTCCTGAATGATTTAACAACTAGTACATGTTTTTTGGTGTTGCGTTGTTTGGAATCAAATCGTATTATTTTATATACAGTTTTCTCCTTTTTGCAAAAAAGGGGACATGTTATGTTTTCTTAGCAAACATTTAACAACATAAACGCACTAGAGAGAATGAAGACTTTCCAGCAAAGGAGATTTCCTTTATGACGACATCATTTTCTTAGGCTGTATAATTGTTTTTATAAGTAATTGGTTACATGTAGTACTTTATAGTAAAACAGAAAAGAGTTATAAAATTATCAGTAGTTAAGTTTATTCAACTATCGAATGTAGAAGTCTACAAAACCGATGTGGTTTTACATCAATTAATAAAATCATCAAAGATTATCAAACCATTTCAAGCATCGAATATGATAGTCTATGAGTGGGTGTTATTTCAAAGTAATTAAAGTCATCGAAAGTTTTCAAGAATTGATAAAACAAACACATATAACCTCACAATATTGTTTCAGTCCCCAATGGGGATCCCGTCTTATGAAAAACAAATAGCAATTCTTTATCAGTTATATTTTAGTCGCATTTTTATATGCATTTGTGTCGACATTTCTTTCAGGATTTACGGAAATGCATGGATGGACTGTTGGAACAGAAGTTTAAAAGTCCTAGTGTGGTTAACTGGGATAGAACAAATAACGAAGGACGACTCCTTCAAACTATTGTGGATCTATTAACAAGTGAACCCCCGCCAGCTGTTCAAGTTGAGAAATTAAACCTAAAAACATTCTCCATAGGCATCCATAAATAGTTATTCGCACCACTAATAACCCTGTAGATATATGTTTAACAATTCTGTTTGTTAATGACTTAAAATAAATTTTGTCTATCAAGAAAAATAACTTTTCAATCCGTCGATTTGTGCATTGTGAGTTCGATTACATAACATTGAACAGGCTTATTTATTTTTACATAAAGAACTAATTTTGATACCCTATGTACAGAAAACCTCCAAAATCAAACAAGTTACCATCGTGTTCAAGAGAAACGTTGTTTATTTATGACCCATGTAAATTCTTCTACAGTCGTAAATCCAAAAATCTACCACATGAATGAAATAACTATGTTAAGAAGCGGAAAGGAAAGGGTTTTTATAGTCAGTAAGTAAATGAACAAGACTAGTATCCACTAACAGTGTTCAGTTAGAAATTCGCTCAAGAAATATTTTACTGGGATAATAAACTTTCAAATTTCATACTAATCGTCTTCTATCTTCAGTGTTGTGGTGATACAAATGGTATCTGTGTTAGTTGGCCTAGTGTGTTGAACGTGATCATAGGTCGAATGTCGGTCTGATAATCTGCCATTCCCAGAATACGCATACGTCTTCGGGTAAATCAATGGTCTGAAATATCGTCACATACATGAGGCTTCGTCATATTGTGACGACCCTAACCTATCTGATGATCCTTAGTTCATTCTACTTAACTCTTTATGTTGCTTTGCTTTTAGTTTCTGTAATATAAGTTAGGGGATTTTTGTTGGCTTGTGAGTTGATTGTATTTTTCAAAACATACCTGATATATGGCAATTCAATTCATCTCTCGACTTCCACAGATGGCTTTGCAGTTGGTAATATATTTGATACGAACGTTTGACAACCACAGTTGTTTTTACAGTCCACTAATATCATTGGATTATTATATGAAGTTATTCGCTTTGTTAAACGTCCTGAATCTTTCCAACTTACAATATAAGTATTGTCTGTCTAACGTCATCGATAGTTTGTGAATTAATATTCCTTTACTATCCTCAATTCTGAAAACTTCAGTTCAAATAATTACCTACTTGCATGCAGCCACACTGAGGTTGATTATTCAGTTTGATAACCACATTTTTCCTTAGGACCGGCGTACTATCGCTCAGTCAAGTGAGAATTAACTACATATATATACCTCACTAGTCGAAACATGCTCTAGTAAGGCCCATACTACCTTTGACTTTGAAGTAAAAATGTACAGAATATTTACAAATAAAATCCTCAGTCATATGCAACGTAGAACCTGGCAGTTATGTGCGTCGAATACAGATGGTATAGTCCAGTTTGGTGAAGATGCTGATAAAATTCAGTCTTTTGGTAGCACCGAGCAACAATCCCAGGATATTTGCGATGCGCTTCTCCTCTTCTAAATGCAAGTTTTAGCTCCAGGACTGGCCTGTGTTAACACCTGAAATAAAGATAGGGAGTGAAGTAGTCGAACACGTCAACATCTTGAAAGTATGATCAGCCTAAATGGGTTGATATCTGATGAAATATCAGCACAGATTCGAAAAGCCCGTCTGGCTTTTGCAAACTTACGTCACCTATGGCGAAGGCGAGATGTTCGTCTATCAATTAAGGGACGAGTATACTGCGCGGCTCTTCGTTCTGTTCTACTTTACGGTTGCGAAACGTGGCCATTAAGAATAGAAGATAGTCTTAAGCTACTAGTATTTGACCACAGATGACTTGGAAATATTGCTCTCATCTACTGGGATCACCGGGTAAGTAATAGTGAGTTTAGACGCAGGGTATTAGGGAATGATGTTAGATCAGTTGATGAGGTTGTGAATGTTCATCGACTGAGTTGGTTGGGCCACGTGTTGCGTATGCCTGAACACCGATTACCAGGACGCGCAATGCTGACTAGTGTAGAGGATGGCTGGAGGAAAGTTAGGGACGGTCAAACCAAGACATGTCATCAGTGCTTGAAGTCACTAACTCCTGGTTTGAGCCATATTGGTAGATATAGATTACGTGGTCGGGGTCCACATGACTATCTTAAACAATGATTGGAGACTCTTGGTGAAATGGCTCAGAATCGATTACAATGGCGTAAGTGTATACACTCTTTGTCTTCCCCCAAATTAAGAGATTAAAATCGCTTCATATCTTTCTTTTTACCAGCTAATTCTTTCTTTTAGTACTATCCTTATATGAAATCTTTTTTTTATATATTACCACCATTGAAGTAACTACTCTTATGAATCCGGTGTTCATCTTGTTCTGCGAATGGGGTGTGGCAACTCGGACCGATGCATATATGTGCCTCGTCCTGCGTTGCAACGTGCGTCAACTCAAGTTGTCACACTACATTAGTGTATTGAAATAAGGATATCAAGCCGAATCCCAGAGTAGTAGTAAACGTTAAGTGAAGAAATAAGTCTTAAGATTTCGGGATTCAGGGACTTTGAGGAAATAAATAGTGAGTACATCTGTTCTATCCTGACGTTTCAATTCTACCCATTGATTGCGGTAGTTACGCGGACCCCAAATAGGCAATCTGTACGTACCCAAGTGGTTCAGTCTAATAGTCAATGAGCTGATGAACGTTGAGATTTGGCTACCCTTAGCTTCCTTCCAACCTATTTCTACACCAACCATCATCACCCGTCAATGTAGGCGGTCGTTGGGCATACGTAACACGAGTTTCGACCACCTCGTTTGATGAAGATTTACTACCTCGACTACCCACCTCTACCAAATACTCTGCGTCTAACCTGAGCAGCTCTTATTCGGCAGTCCCAAAATGCACGAGCAATAGTTCAAAGACACTTATCGTGGAATACTAACAACCTAGGGACATCTACTCTTAGTGGCCATGCTTCACACCCATAAAGTAGAACAGACTATCTTCAACTAGCTACTTGAGTATTTAATCTTGTCACTATTGATATTTCTGAACGTTCGGCGTTTTGTAGTAGAGAAGAAATCTTTCTGTAAAACTAGTCCTTTACTTCACTCAAACTGCAGTCATTAAGAGCGTGAGCAGATACGACAATAAGACAACGGCGTGTGTCCCTATGTTTCCGTGTTCCTACTTTCCTGTTTAATCTATCTTTAGAAGCTATGTTTCACAGCCACAAGATAGAACAGAACGAACTGTTAAGCAGTACACTCATCCTGCGGTTAGCAGACAGAAATCTCGCCTAGGCTACCGGTGGCATCAACACTTAGGTTATTCGATCGCAAATCAGCACACCAAGTAATACTTTTCAGCAACTTAACTGATTGGCCTCCTTTACAATGTAAATGTATAGATGCGATCAGTTTTAATACATGATTAGATAAACCCCAATGCTAACAAGAAATTTAATGCAAAGTTACCAAATGGTTCACTTACATGATAGGCTTCTAGCATATTCTTTAGTTGGTCGCAAACTTTACAGCTAACTATATAATGTTTAGTTAAAACAGCTATAGCCATACGAATCAGGTTAGCACTCCATAAAAGTCTATTGTATTCCCAAGTAAGTCGTAGTGCTTTATATTGGTAATACTTCAAATGTAATGTACTTTGTCTCACGCGCGAGGCGGAGTCTAAGATTGCCCAGCATTGAGATTATGCTTCTAATCTGAGAGTTTTGAAGGGATTTCAGAACTAAGCAGGTTCATAAATAATTCGACTGATCAGATTCTAAGCTGAAATATAAACTCCTACCTTCAGAAACTTTCTACTAAAACTTATTTTGAAGGATAGCAATTATTATAATTAACTAATTAAAGTTGTTAAAGACCAGCCACCACTAAGTGGTTTTTCAAAACAATTTCGAGATATCCATAGGCGATTTCGCAAAATTGCTAGTCAAGTACATAACCCTTCGCGTCATAAAAAGTAAGAATGCCTGTTTTGCCTATAATTTGATTTTTAAAGTTAAAAACAATATACTGTGATTACAATTCAAATATTACGTCCGCGTATTGTGCCGACATACCAATTATTAGGGTGGGTACCTCTTGGCTTTTATCATGTCTAATGATATGTTTTTATTTATCACGGGTTTTAAATTCTATAAATGTTTATGAAATATATCCGTAGTCTGGGTTAATGCCAAAACCTCAACGGGCATATGAGAGTTCGATTTCACCCATATTTAACAACAGAACACCTGAATCCTGAAACAAATGCTGTTTGCTGGTAAATTCAAATAATTACTATTTGTTAAATAGAAGTCCTGTTCAAAGCACCGTATATATCTGGTAATCTCTTTCCTTTTACTAAAATCAAGACATTTCAAAATGATTGTGTTCTTTTAAACTCTAAATAATTTGCTTTGGTCCTTTTCTTAACGCCTGGATAGCCTATTGCATCATACATCTGTTGACCTCGAAAACACAATAACTGTTTTACCAAACTGATATACTGAACGGACATTCCTCTTAAAATCATGGAATATGAATTAATGAGTGTTCAATCAGGACTTATATGTATCCTTTACGAATCGTGAATCTTTTTTTAGCAAAGCTGTATAGACTACTTTAGTAAACAACAAAGGATCAATCACTGTTCTTAATTTGAATACACTACTTTTATCCTCATCGTTTGCAATTACGGTTTGGTGAAGTTTCTAAGTACCTTTAATAATAGTTGACGCCACCTGAAATTATCCACAATCTTATTAAGTGATCTACCTTGGTTTCTTAAAGACATCTGATTATCACGCGTAATATATTTATGGTGAAACAAAATAACTCCTTAGATAAACAGTAAGCAGAGACCCGAAAAATATCAAATCATAAATCAACGAAGGTACAAACAATCACGCATTATAAATATGTATTTGTAAAACAGAAATATAACGAAACAGAACATCAAAACTAAAATACAAAATCAGAAATATGTTTTTCCCTTTTAATTTGATCTTTTTCATCTAAATACACACTTACAACTGATATAGTTTGACCTATTGTCCTTGAGGCCCCACAAAGTTCAGCAACACTGCGCATACCGTCTTTCATTTGCTCCACTCCGTAAGAGATCCCTGCTCGCATGCGCTGTGCAGCAACAGAGCTTTGGTTACGAAGAGATGCAACACTTTTCGCAGACTTAGCCCTCAGGTCCTGAAATTCACCGCGCAAAATTTTGACCCCATGACCAACATCACGACAAAGTCTGCTCCGGAAGTCTTCGAGCTTTTCACGAAAGTGTGCGGGATCAGGGTTTTCGACGGCTTGAGCTAAACTAGCCAATGCTTCACGATATTCTTGTGCAAGTTTTTCGTTTGATACAACTAACTTTACGTCCGCACTCCCTGGACGAGGGAGACAGGGAACACAAAAAGTGTCAAAGGAATGAGAATTATCTATGTCCAGTCGGACTCTGATTACACAATTCCCCGACCGTACATAAACTTCATATTTACATATTTGAGGGCGATTGAGATGAATATTAGCTTCACCAGATCTCAAATTAGAACCATTCATAAGCGGCTGATGAGTTTCCATCAACTCGGAGTTATGATCACCTGAAGTAGGTTGCATAATATCATTTGGAGCAATAGGTTCTATGTTTGAGTCATTAGTATTTATAACGACTATTTCACCATCAGGAGCTAATCGGCCTACGGGTACGTTTCCAGCTGCGAATAATAAACCGGCTTCTTCAATTTCCTGGACTTTTTCGGCGAAATGAACTGTCCTGCATGTGTTGCACTTCCAGTGAGTAGTTGGGCCAAAATATCTATTATAAGTCCATCCTGGGTTTCGCAGTGGGATTTCAAGTCTCTTATCAGCAGCTTTAAAATTTTGCGAAGTTTCTACACATTCTACTTCGGGAACCGGGATAACACCAACATAGGTTTTACCCTTAAATGCATAGGATGGCTGACGACGTCTGAGACAATGAGTCTCGCTACAGTATCTGATTGTACCCCCGATTATACCAACTAATAATAACAGGATCATTCCACCATACCCATAGCAAAGCGACATGTAGTATATTTGTCCATAGTATAAACTGGAAACAACTTTGATGTTGATGGGTGTAGAGTGACTAGTAACATCTGCAGAATGAGCAACACACAACCATTTTCCACTCAAATATCCTCTTGTGTTCTCAACATCTAATGAGTTTATTGTATCATTAACTTGCGTTATGTGTAACACTGTTGGGGCTAAAATAGGTTGAACGACGTAATACACTGAATATGTGCTAACCTCAGATTTAATGGTGGAAAGGGAAATTACACCAACAGGCGAAACCCAAAAAAGCTCATAAGGTAAATCAGAATTTACATTACAAATAAAAGAAAGACGTTGCCCTGTAAGGACGGAAACAAAAGAGTTATCACCAAAAGACGAAACGTTAGACCCAGGTGGACTTAAATATATACCAGTATTCAACGTTGGTCCACAGGGTGAGGGCCATGGGTCACAAAATGGAAGACCTTCAAAGTGGCCTTTTAATAACAACCTAGAATTAACACAGGAACATGCGATAGGATTGTCAGAAACAGAAACTTGAAGCGGATGCGGCAGGCTGGGTAAAATATTTAATAAATTGTGAGAAAGATTTACGAAGGCCAGACTTTTTGAATACTGAAAAGTATCAACAGGCAATCGACTCAACTTATTGAGACTTAAATCAAGTATTTGAAGGCTGGCAAGGCCCAATAACATGCCAAAACGTGGCAGTGATTGTATACTACAATTAGTAATCGACAACGTTATTAGATTAGAAGAAATATTGTTGAACGATTCAGTTCTTGGAATTTCCAATTGAATATCACTGATAAATAGCTCCTTTAATTTGGGTAAGATGGAACTCCTTAAAAACCCAGGGGACAAAACTCGAGGGCCGGAAACCACATAACTGGTGACGAAAAGAAGAGATGTATTTTCTGGGCATAATTTTAACAGTCCTTCGTGGATTATCAAGTCGGTAGATTCTAACACCAATTCAGCAACTGAATGATTGTTAAGAAGGCAGGTTGTATTTCGGCAATCGATCACATAGATAGTTAGCACTATGATAAATCCTTTTTGGAATATTCCGTGCTGACCATAACTCATCACATAGATAAACTGAAGGTCACAATTCCGTAAGCATTTGAAAAGAGGTCATTTATAGACAGTGAGCTGTTCAATAGAGCAAATGGTTGTGTACAAAGTGGTTCAAATGGTTGCGGACGGAATAGAAGAAGCTTTCACTCAACGGGATTTCTTGTCTAGTAGCAATGGATCATCAATACCTCTGGGCAGGAATTTAGGTATTTTAACGATAAAAAAGGAAAAAGAAATTGATAAATCATAATAAGATACTATCCTTAGTCCTTAAAAATACGTCGAGTTTCCTCTTAAAGAACTCCTGAGAAGTCACTTGGACTAACTTATCCGGCGGCGAAATCCAGCATTTGACTACTTTTAAGCAGTAGAAGTTGTGTCTACAGTTCGCTGACAACTAATTATTCAGACCTGTCAAGAGAATGATGTTGCTCAGCAAAGCCTCAGCATTCGTCTTGCACTTGACTCACACCCACCTATGATTCGACTACTGAGTCTGTTGTAAGCAGTTACTGTAAGGTCTGTGATCGCTTCATAGAACCAACCGTTGCAGTGGTCACACCGTATACCGATGTAACAGCTAAACGGCAACCGAACCGCTTGCATGAATTCTTCGTGACCATAGTGATGTTTACTGTCATATAGATCCTAGCAAAAGCTTACGACCGTAAAACAAAGAAGCAGTACTCTAAATGCGGATAAAAACGGGTGGTACTAAAAGTTCGGATAAAGTGAAACTAGCCATGATATCAAAAACTGAGAAGCCAAATGATAAGCTGAAGCAAAACCACAAATTACTGATAGGTTGGGTAAAGCTCAAAAAGAAAAGTAATCTACTGAACGTAAAGTTCAAGACAGATTCTTTAGATCAGAAATGCAGATGACAATAGGAATAAACTTCTCATTCGTAAACGTTTCTTCAGCTCTACAAGTTTTCATATATAGTATCAGTGGATCACTGATTTTTCAGACCTTAGTAAAGTTTAAAATACAACTGAAACGACATAATAATCCGTAATATATTAAACCCAACCTCTTCATATTAATAATAAATTTCACTTTGTCTCCCAATTTTAGTTGTATGTTCTCATCCTCGCCTCCTTGTTTCCGGAAAAAAATTGCTCAATAGGACGACAAAGACATTCAGCTACGTCAGTTTACAACCAATGTTATGGAAGCCCCATTAGTTCTTGCACACACCATAATTCGTGTGCAATCAAAACATCTGAGTCTGAGAATGCCTGAGAGCTCTCGTCTATATGTGGCGTTTCAAACATTTTACAGTACCTCTTTAGCAAGGAGTTTCATGACTTCCGTATTCATTATGTAGAATGCACAAATTTAGTTGGTACTTATTCCTTTTAATTTGTTTCCTTACTTTACTACCCGTTCCTAAATACATTTGATCCTTTATATGTCTGAAGGCTTGACAAATGAAATATTCGCACTTTCCAGTCATAACTATCGGAAACGTTTTCAGCGCTGAAAACTTCGTAAAAGGTAGACACAAAAGCCATAGGGTATTGATGGTTAACCAACTTTAACAAAAGTCATTAGTCGAGTGCTCTTCATTTTCAGTACTCTGGTGTCTCAGTAATCACCTGTATATCCATTTAAGTAGCTTGTGAAACAGGCGTTCTTGTCTTAAGTTTTTCTGTGAACCATCGTTATCCTCTGTCAGATGATTATCTAAGAGTTTATCCACATCTGACTTCGATGCATAAAAATGAACTTAGTGTCACCCGATTGTGGGTTACCAGATCATTTTAAGTGTTTGGAGGACGACACACATCACAGGTTTTAGCGAGTCGTCAAAATTCAAGCGCAAAATCTCATGAGAATCCAAGAAGGACAGGTTAAGTAATACATGTTTGTATTCAGAGACTTTATCGGAACCTAATTTTCATCTTATTCATTTGCTTACTAAATTATTTGAAAGTTTGCACGGCTGTAGTTTTTAGACCATGACTTATGTAGTCCGCTTGCATATATTTTTCTGTTTTGATTATCTGGCGAATAATTATGTGTCTGCCTAATTTACATAATCATACGTCGAAATCGAACCGTTCGACGACACTGTTGTCCGGAATCCAGGCCTTCCCGCCTTATTGTAAGGGTCTGCTCGATGTAACATATTACATTGAAACAATATACTGATCGGCGACGTCTCTACTCCATGACATTATTCTTTGACATTAAGTAGTAAATTTACATGAATTACTACGAACATAGGGACATCGTTTACATATATTTCAACAAACCAAACTTAAGCACTTATTGTCAGCCAGCAATTTTCAGTCTCGTTTACACATAATGCATGGATTTTACCCACACATTAATAATAGTCACGAGTAAAATGTTATTTACGCCTAATAAAATAGATGTAAATTAGAAATCTGAAATTTTGAAAGAAATTGTCATACAACGTCGCATCCAAAAAATGTCGTAGGCTACAATCGCAGACGATTTCAGTCCAGTCCTGGAGTACTGGTCACCAATATGACGTTCATCAATGATAATAAGGAAAGAACAAGCATATGTACAGGATACGGTCACCTAGAGATTAATAATGTTTTCCAATCAAATTAATTGTGTCACCAGCATCTTACTCGTTGTAATATCTGTTAAGCGGTCTGATAATGGATAAACTCCATAATCCCGTTACATGTCTCTCCGGCCTGGGTTCCCTGAAGTGTAAATCAAATGAACGAGTATAGGACAAAATAGGAAAGGTTCTGTATTATCGGTATGACAACTTAATCGACAGATGGAATTGGTGTAAGTAGTGTCTTCACTTGAGGTTATCCTTAAATGATGAAGAACAGCGAATGCCAACTATCTGTTTAAAAATTTGATGTGTGATAGTGAAATAAAAAGCGATTGATCATTGAGCATAGACAAACAGGCACTTAGTTTACTGACCACTTGATATGTGATCTCCTTTCCTATTATTGATTTCCACTTCGGACTAACCGAAACTGAATGCCCACAACTGTGATGAATAAAATAAAACCCAGCCCTACTTTGGTTCTGTATCATTGTTCGTGAATCGCGTATCTGATAATGTGAGATCTTGTATTGCATACTGGTGAAGTATCCAATTTGGGGTAGCTTAATGTACAAAAAGTGAGAAAGAGTATTTCAAACTATCCGTTGTTTTTAAATCAAATAGTAACTGATTATGATGGAACTGCAAATCTCAACTCATGCAAATTGTTGTCAGAGATCGTGGTGCTTTCAACAATGGTCTGAATCATTATTAGTAATTCTATAAGAGTAGGCACAATTCCGAAATTGTAGGCTTGTCATGATATGGACAGCTAATCCATAAGATCGTACTTGGAAGTCATATTGTAGTCCATTCTTATTCGTTGTATTGTGACACTCAGCAATATGATGTTCAGCACTTAGGAATAACACATCTTAGCTGGGGAAAGAATAGTATATCTAGTGTGGAAAGGTATAGGCTACACGAAAATGATCATGCCTGCAAGGCTGACCTACTCCAATCGATTGGATCAATGTTCGCGCGTCCACATTTACTGGCCGCCTTTGAGTGTTGCGTGGTTAGGATCAGTATCAATGCACTATTCTCCCATCAAGATAAACATGACGAAAGTTCGTTGCCATATAAAGTTTGATCACTGCGCGTCAAATGTTGACAAAATATACTAAGAATCCTCTGGGTATTGACAAGCTGAAAGATAAGTCAAAAAGATGACAGAAGCAACTGATCAGGAAACACATGTAATAGTTTCAAAATATTTGGTTGCACGCTTAACACTCTTGAAATGGAAATCCCTATGAACATTAGTTATGTTTCAAATAGTCCGATAGAACGATTCAGTATAGAGGTATCATAACAAGTCACATTACGATGCATAGCAATAGCTTAACCTGTGGGAAGCATTAATATTTTGTACTTAGAAACAGAAAAACAATCAATATTGTATCAGCGATGGTATTGGCATTACCTTTGGTTCAATTTAGAAAGTTAGTTATTGTTCATGTCAACATGCTAACGTATGTGGTGATTTTTTATTAAATTCGCATGAGTGAACTAACAGAAGAAACAGAAATATCGCCTCAAGTAAAAAGAATTCCAACTAGTATCTCAGTTTGTTAGGTTAAACACGGTCTATTTAGTTGTGGAAAGATATTCTCGACCTTATTAACGGTGACAGGATTAAATAAAACTACCAATACATGTAAATGGTCGTCAAAATTGTTTCACGTGAAAATAATGATAACTATGTGTATTTTGGACAGACAGTCAACAGTATTTCTTTAAACAAGAGTGTATTTGTGAGAGACATGCTCTAGGTTCAATGTTTTGATGTGCAATAGACTAAATATTTGTATTCGCACTTACCTTTAAATGGTGTATACAAGTCAGTTGCAAGTATTGTGTTTAAAAAAAGATAGAAATCAACTTGCGTTGAAATAGGGTGATTACATTTCTCCCAAGTCATGTCATGATAACGACACGAACCTCAGTCAATGTTGTTGTGAATTCAACGTGCAACCGATGGTCGATAACAGATTCATGTGAAATTGGAGGCTTCTAGAAATCGCAATCTTATATCCCTTTGGAATATTTGAGACTATAAAATGGTGCAGGACGAGGTCACCCGTTCCGTATCTCAGGGGTGCTAAAAAATGGTGCAAGAAAACAAGGACGAGAATCAGCTGATTCTCGTCCTTGTCTGCCCTAGGGCAGACATTGTTCACGAAGAAATAGTTGAGATATAACTACTCAGTCTCATTCTCTTTTATTAAATTATTTACTAAGCAGGAGCATCCTAATAAGTTAAGGAAAATAAGTGTAGACAACGTATCAGTGGATAAACAACTGACAAATGGAGGTGGTTCAGAAAGAAACTGAGAGTATGGGGATATGTGTAGTTATAAAATATAGTGCTGAAAACAGTATTCTGATACACAAATGGATGTCTCCCTTTTTTATTGTCGACGCTATTGGAGCCTTTTTAGATTCTATAGGGTCTTGAGTAAGCTTCGTTTTTTTAGCGAATTGTCTAGTTTGCTTGTAATAGGATTACTGGGTAGGAAGTGAAACCAATTTAACGTTCTCAACACGATTTAATGAGGTGTTTTGCATAG